TGGGTTAAACCTCCCCCCCAGCTCAAACCTCAAACAAAAGCTGCAGCAGAGCCAACCATGGCCAGTAGAGCCTCACCATGTTCCTCACATCCCTTAATGGACAGAGCCCCTCTAGATGGAGCCCTTCAAATTCATTCACTTTACATCCACGGAGATCCGCATCTGTGGACGTGGGTGTGGATATCGGCAGCTCATTTTTGTGGATACGGATGTGGATGCAAATTTTGTATATAGATCCCTGCAAATGTATGGCTATCTGCTTTATATCCGCGGGTGTCCGCATCTGTGGATATCAGTGTTGATATCTGCGGCTCACTTTTGCAGATACAGATGCGGATCCAGATACAAATTTTGTATCTGTACAGGGCTCTACCTATAGAACTGGATTCCAATGTATGCATGGGGCATGCTTGTCAAGTGGTGTTATCCAGAATAAAATTGCCCTGGGTTCTTTACTTCTCAGGCACACTATGGTCACAGAAGGGAGGGGATGTAATTTACCCCTCTGGAACTTAGTGTACCGAGCTTGAATACAGCACAGAAGTTTGATAATGCACAGTAGAAATACTATTCACTGGGTATACTTCAGGGCACTTCTTTTTAACCACATTGCAGGCCTCACGTGGACGAAATTCCTGTTTTGAGTCAAGAGACAATCACAAAGATCTGGAAGCTTAAGAAATGTGCATTTGAAAAGCCAGCATAAAAAAATGAATTTGTAAGTTTTTTACCTACAGTGGAATTCTTATGTCAAATTTGAGAAGAGATTTCCCTATGGAATGCAGAGTTTCAGAAATGCAAAATATTAGCAATGATCTTAAAAAAAATTCCACATGGAAAGATCCCAGTGTCTGTATCTGAGATATAAACATGGTGACGGACTGAAAAGAAACCTTTTTCAGCAAAAATGGTAATCAACCACCACTGTTTCCTGAGAGGAGTTTAACTAGCACGGGACCCAAATTTACATCTTTGGGGGGGGGGGGGGGGAGGGTTCTGCAGCTTAGCATGCTTATGGCTCTTTTGGAATTAAATGTGTATTGGGGTTGACATCTTATGAACAGCAGACTCCACTCAAGAGAGACACGGGTTGTCTGGATAATTGGATAACAAGGACAAAAGTTTGTTTCCCAATCAAGTCAACTTGCAGTGTGACTAGAGCTATTTGTTAAGCCATATAACTAGTATACGTGCTGACTGATGTGTTATTAGGACTACTGACAAAATAACATTGCTATAGCAGCTCTTCCAAGTAGTAGAATATGTAAGAAACAAAGACTTAAATTAGCTCCTATCTACTGCAAAAATGGACCCTCAGATTATGAGCATGTGTTTCATCTGTACTATTATAGGCATCAATCCTGATTATTATACCACTCCATATGCCGACTATGTCCTGACTGTTAAGGCATTAAAAGAATCTATTTTAAAGTCAGAGATAACTGAACACTTGCTAATGTCTGCCCATCCATTCCATTGCCATTCTTCTGTCCATCCAGCAGTTCTGCGCACAAAACACAGAGCCGGTGTTCCAATTCTGCGCCTGGCGTGTGTATGCGTGTAGGCTGCCGTTCACATACAATTTTGTGTTTTAGTAAAGGTCTTTAAAATGCTTTTAAATGTTGTATCTGCAAAATATTCAAGAAGCATAAGCAAGGATTAAAGCCAGGTATCAATTTAAATCAAAATCAGCCATTTTTAGGATAATTAGAGATGGGGATTATAAATTACGTCGTTTTGGGTCCAACACAGTGCTATATTTGGAGTCAGTAGTAATATAAAAACTAAGGGGGAGGGGAAAAAAGCAAATGTATGATGTTTCTCAACACACATGTCTTTGCTAGAATTTCATCCGTCTGACTGGGCAGACAGGACTTCTAAGAAGTAAGGGCCATGATAAAAGTTTGTGTGTTTTTATAAAAAAGACAAATGGCTAAGTCAGCCGAAGACTGTCAAGATGTGGCTAGCTTTTTGGAAGGGGTTAAAATAATCCTGCTTACTAGGAGCCAACAAGGACACTTCTCTGTTTGATCTGGGGTGATATGCCATCAATTTATCTTTTTTTCCCCCTACTTCCTAACCAGTATATAGCTGCTAACACTTGACTGTGATATGCAGCTGTTTGGCAAATGGCTGGTTGCCAGTCAGTCTGAGAAAAACTACCCCATGTTACTGATGGTGGTTGATTCCCTGGGCAAGTGAATCTTCCACTTCTCAAGAGAGCATGACAGGCTACTTATATGGCCCTCAGGTAATGTGGATCTTATAGAAGGAACAGACTGAATTCTGGTGTTCATCTAGGGTGGGGGTGCACAGGCCTTCAGAATCCATTTTATCTCCTGTATTAAAGCCAACCCTTGTCAGGATTTGAGCCAACAATCTTAAGAAGAAAATGTGGCACTGACTAGACAGAGCCTTAGGATAAGTACAAAAGGGTAGGGAGCATAACAGCAAACAACCACAACAACAGGGCAGACAGCTAATATGCGTGCAACTCACAGTTGAGGTAATGCCAGTGTTGCTATCTACTACCCTGTGTTTTTGTGTGGCACACATTTTACACTGTAGAAAGATTATTGGTCATTTCTTTTGCTGTTGTATATACCCTGGATTCTGCAATGTCCACTCCACCTCATCTGATGAAGTGGGTTTTACTTAGTATATTCGTTAATCTCTAAGGTGCTATAGGACTGCTTGTTGTGTTTAAAGTTACAGACTAACATGGCTATTCCTCTGAGACTTTTTACTATATGAAAGATGTTTGTGCATGGGGGAAAAAAGAAGAGAGCATGTAGGGTTTTTTGGTTAGACTTTTACTTCAGCGATTGCTTTCCTCTGAAAATTGTTCATCTTTGTTCACTTTTATAAATTTTCTACATTCTTGTTGTTTAACCCCCACCCCCAATGAAACAGATGCCTGTTGCAGTGAATGGGATTGCACTTGTGAAACAGAAAGGAAAACACAGTACTATGTTTCTTTCTTATTTCTTGATTTATAATCTGCAGCCACCAGAGTCTCTGGGTGCATTTACAAATATTTGAAGAACAGACATCAGTTTCTGAAGGGGAAATTCTAACTTCTTTGAGGGAATTACCTGTAACAACAAAGCAATCCTGTTTCCAGAATAGAGGTTTTCTAATACTAGATGGCTTTTTCTAAAAACTCTTTCCAGGTACTGGATCCAGAGCTCTTGCAGCTCCTATTAATGCTAATAGGCTAGATCCTGGAATATGACTGAGGCCATGTCTTCACTTTGGAGAAGATCTACGCTGCTGCGATTGATCTTCCAGCGTTCGATTTAGCTGGTCTAGTAAAGACCCACTAAATCAAATTCAAAGGGTGCCCCCGTTGGCAGTCGGTACTCCTGCTCCAGTGAGGAATAAGGGAAGCCAACTGGAGTGTCCGTCTGTGGAGAAGATGGGGAAACTCAACCTCTCGCTGTGTGGACGGCGATTTAAGATACGTCTGCTCCAGCTATGTAATTCACATAGCTGGAGTTGTGTATCTTGATTCGACTTCCCCCTTTAGCGTATACTTGGCCTGAGCCAGAAAAAATGCAGGGCAAGGAGGTGTGTAGAAAAGTGGCTTGAGGCATACCTCTTCTTGACTCCCTTGGTCCTGCCAGAGCTTGTAGGCTATCTACTACATATTTGAGAGAGTTTGTCTGTCTGTCTGTCTGTCTGTTCAAGAACTCCTAAACAGTAAGAGCTAGAACCACCAAATTCGGTATACAGCTTCCTCTTATAACTTAAAGGTGAGAGTTTGGTTCTGCTGGGAAAATGGGATGTGCCTGGAATGGGATTGGTTCTCACAAAACCATACAGAAGAGAGACAGAATCATCAGGCAGATAGATGAAAGGAGTTTGCTGATGGCATGCCCCCTCAATCCAGGACTGCCCCAGCCCCGAGCCCCCCACTTCCCAGGCACTCTTTAGGGAGGGTGATTTTTACAGGAACTTTGCTGGCTGTTCCCCTTTGTCAGGGCGTGAGGGGAAAGTGCACAGTTGGCTGCATTCCTCACTCTGGCTGCAGAGCGCAGGGGGGCAGATGAACTTGGACTTATCTTCCCGGCTGTGCCTGCTGGAGCTGTAGCGGCCAAGGAGAGGCGCGTCTCACCTGCCCCCAAGCTGCTGCGGTCCTCTGTCCCTGGGGCAGCCTGCACACTGAACCCCTCCTCCCCAGCCCCACCTCACAGCAATGATTTAAACAAAGCCTGGACATTTTCATTTTCTTTTCCAACCCCCCCCCCCAAAATGAATCAAGGCAAGGACTTAAGCGGTGGGCGAAGGATGGGCAGAGTGCAAGGGTTCCCCCATTTTCTCTGGACAGCTCTCCTTTTCCCTGCTCTGTGGCAGCAGGAAGATTGAGCGGCGGAAGAGCTGATCACCCCTAACAGCTCCTCCTTAAACTGGGACGGATCTTCCTCAGGCTGCTTAAAGCAACTTTTGGGCCACATCACATAGGCAGTGTGGTGCAAAGCAGCCATGCAGAAGGGCCAAGACCAAGATTTGTAAGGGCACCTAAGATCTGTGTAAGCTTTCGCTGAAGGAAAAGAGCCAGCTCCCACTAAGTGCTGTGTCACTACGCACTTAACCCAGCCTCTCCCGATTGCTTTAGCTGTCACAGCTGGTATCATGCTACAACATCCACTCCCCTTTGAGAAGGTTGTAAATTGCTCAGGCTGGGAAGACGTCGGCCCATTGCTTTATCAGGAGAATGCCCTTCCAAAGCGCACTGTAGCTGGTATCGATACGTCCCAAAATAAATAAAGTGCTTGCAGAGTGTTTTCCATTTTTACAGCACTTGGCAAATGTTAGAGGATTCAGCTCCACAGCAAGCCTGTGAAGTATTATTACCCTTATCTTACAGAGGAAGGAATTGAGGCCAGGTCAACACTGGCGGAGAAAATCGATGCAAGAGACACAATTCCAGCTATGTGAATTGAGTAGCTGGCATCAACGTACCTTGCATTGATTTTTGGGGCGGCTCCACAGCGGGAGGTCAACAGGGGAAATGCTTCTGTCAAATTCCCTTACTCCTCACAACAGTTAGGAGTACCGGCACTGATGGAGGAGGGAGCACCCTCAGCATTTGATTCAGCGGGTCTTCACTAGACCTGCTAAATTGAAACCTAGTGGATCGATCACCAGAGTGTCACTCCTCCAGCAAGTGGAGATGTGGCCTTAGCCAAAGAGATATTAGACAACTTGCCTCAGGCAGCAACAGGACTAAGTACAAGAGCTGGAATTGGAACCTAGACCTGGTGTTTAGCTCACCCACTTTCTATGAACTGTCAATCTTCAACCATCACTTAATTCCATCTTCATTCATAAGCAATGGACACAGACCAAGGGGCTCAAAGTTTACCAGTGCGGGATGTAAAGGTTGCTTCTGGACCAAGCAAACAGCCATTTTATATTTATTTGAAGTGACATGTCTAGACATTCCCATTCCCAGACAGTGGGAACTGGCAGGCTGGTGATGAGGTTGGAGTATCTTGTGTCCCTCAGCAGTGACTCTGCAGCAAATTAAAGGCCAGCACAGATAGGAGTCCTGTTTAGGGATTAAAACGAGGATAGTGGAATGGGAAACCCTCAGGAATACATAGGGGACAAAGCAGAAAGAGAAAAGACAGTTTCAAACTGACAATGCCTTACATAATGTCAATATGGCATGTTCAGATGTTTCTGCTAGAGCTCGTTCTTTTTTTCTTCCCAGGCACCTCGCCAAAATGAGGCCACGGTGACAAATGATCTGGTATTAGAAGCTACCACCGATATGAGCGGCTGGTCACAACACAAACAGCGCACAGATCATAGACAGCTACGTCCTTTTACTAGTGGGTATTTGTAAAACAATTCCGAATTAACAAGAGAAATAAAACCCACAATTACTCTGAGCACCGGCATTTCTGAGCAATTCCCGTCCCTACAGCCGCTGTGAGCAGCGTAATCTCTGAAGTGCCATTCCATTTATGTAAATACACTCTATAATTTATCAATATAATGGATAGTGATGAAGATGGATTAATTTGGATTACAGAACCAGCACTTTAGAGTGGCTTTATGGCGAAGAGATAATTACATAGACAGAACGTAATTTGAATGTTGTTTTGATCATTGTCTGCATGAGCTGCCGTTTGCAGGAAGCATCTGATGTTCGTGGGGCTCAACTCTTTGAGTCCACATCACCAGAGCAGTACCAAAAAAAAAAAAAAAAAAATCTAAAATGTGACTATTTCCTTTAGAGTCGTTTTGGGGATTGCAAGATTCTGGACTTCTGTCATCTGCCAATATTTTCTTCCTATTAAAGGCTGCTTCTAGGGTTGGGGGAAAACTCTCTCCCAAGCCACGTAATCTCAGAGGTGTCGGGTGTGGGGGGTGCTGAGAAAAAGGGAAGCAAAATGTTAACGAGTTAAAAAAAATCACCATTGGGTGAGGTGTATGTGATCTCTGATCACACTTCTTCTTTGTACCTGTTCCTGATCCCACTATGTCCCTGCCGGGTGACTCGGACATTGCATCGGCCAGCCGTTCCCGAAGACCCTCTTCAGTGTGTTCAATGGAAGACATGTGACGGAGTCCAAAGCTTTCAGGCCAGCTCCCACAGACTTCTAGCAGAGTCACGCTCCGATCAAAGTTACCTTTAAACAAACAAATGGAAAATGCTTGGTGACGAGTGTAGACACCAGAATTCATTTACCTCCATGCCCATAACATACTAACATTGTACTAATTCACACAAAAGGAAGAACTGTTTGGATTCTGAGTTCACAATGTGTCTGAATGCCACATTTTGGCACAGTAATTAAAACGGTGATGTTAAACTAAACACAGCATTACAGGAATGGGTAGTTACAGTCTCAACTAATATCCTTCTTCAATCATTTAAAAGCAATACTGTCATGGTAAAAATCCCGGACCTGGTTCTGTTCTCACACTAGGGTAAAACAGCAGTAATTGCAAAAAACCGAATGTAATTACACTGGTATAAAGGCAGTTTAAGGGTGCATCTACACAGCACCCGAAATGCAAAATAAGATACGCAATTTACGCTATGCAAATTATGTAGCTTATTTCGAGTCTATTTCAAAATAGCTTATTTTGTCATTTGGCGCTGTCTACACAGTGCCAAATTCTGAAATAAAGCGCTATTTCGAGCCATCCCTTACTCCGCGTAGAATGAAGTTTACAGGGAAGGCGAAATAGCATATCCGCTATATTTCGAAATAGCGGACACGGTCAAAAGATACGGGGGAAGCTATTTCAGGATACTTCCGGTATCTCGAAATAACTTTGCTGTGTAGACATACCCTAAATGAGCATTTTTTTTTTAAATTTGAGTCTAGGTCACCAATAACATCCTAGACAATTAAAAATGATTTTTTTTTACTTTGTATTTGTTGAACTTTTTGCATTCCTCTTATCTTGGGCAATGCAAATAGACTGGTCATTTCCTCTTTTGCTAAACAGTCACAATTCCTTGTCCATTTCATTTTCTCGTGCGCCAGCACAATGTTGTGAGATGTGGGCTTTGATCACAGCTCCTGAGGGTGGAGTGCAATGCGAATTCTATTTTTAAAAAAAGGTTTCTAGGGGAACGCAAAAAGCATTTTGGCTGATCTGAGTTCCTGTGCGAGTGTGCGCCTACAAAAATGACACTGTAAGCCAAACAGATCTACGCAGCGCCCCTTTCATCCGGGAGGCAATACTGGAGTTGCTGGCCGATGTGACAGAGTGCAACGTTACAGTCTCCAGAAAAGATAGTTAAACTAATTCCTTAACTTGCAGTTGTTTCCTAATTCAAAATAGTACACGATGTTCTGGGGAATGCAAAGATTAGAGTCTGACTCCAAGATCACTTCAAAGTACAAATTAAACCGATTCTCCTTTATTATACAGCAAGTCTTCTGTGCGGGCTTACTTTAAATCATTCCCACTTGGAACGAGATTACAGTTATGCTTAGTTGCTTCGAGCACATACCATTGACTCAACTATTAGGAAACTGAACATGCAACATTTATTGTGCCTGGTTTCTGCCAGCCCGTGGAGGAGAAAAAAAAATGCAAATGCCAGTGTTTCTCAAAGTTAAAAGTACATGAAACACGTCCTTGTTATCAGGCCTTTGGTTTTCCCCTTTGATCAGCCGTCAGAAACTATCTACACTTGTACACTGTGACTGTGCAGCTTCATGGCACACTCTCGGCCAATGACAGGTGGTAATAGAAAGGGTGAGAGACCAAGCCCCGCGGCAGGCGTCCCTTCCTCTGATAACGTCCAAAGTACTGGGTGATAACCGTTAGTAAACACTCGGGGAGCCAGTTAATCCATACATCAGCAAAGAGGGGCAGATAATTTTGAACTCTAATAGCACAGACCAAAGCACAGAGGATGGCATGCAGGGATTTATATGGGTTACAGTGGTGACTTCTGGCTCCTGAATTTCATCAGCGCATACAACTTTGATTTATCCCGGGGTCTGGCCATGGAGTAGATTCCTGGCACTAGAAAACCGTCAACAGGCTGAGGGACCTCGCCAGAAGGGGAGCACGGCTCTGGCGTGACACATGCACTTGAACTTTGGATGAATCCCAGGTTCAATCTATAGGAAGGACGACCGAAGAGTTCAGCTTTTTAATGGGCCTTTGGAGTTATTGGGCTGCTCCAGGCATTTAGTTTGTTTTTTAAAGCCAATAAAGGCTCTTTGGAGAAACTGCAGTGAGGCGGGAGAAGTCAGGTCTGTGCCTCACTTTTCTGCTGCCAGCTTCCCTAACTGTATATGATATAGCAAGATTTGGCTTAAAAAAAACAACAAAAAACAGAACACTTCTCTTTTCAGAATATTTTTATGTTGCTTCATGCGGCCAGATCTTGAGACTCTCACTCTGCTCCAACTCTGTCACTCCCCCACTGACTTAAATAACTTTTGTTAGGGCCATGTAAATACCTGGATAATCATTATGGGACTTTTATTACTGAATGCAAAAATAATATGGTACTGGGGTGACTTTCAGCAACTCCCACAGGCTTTCCCCAGTGAGCTAGAGAATGATAATGAGAGATCTTTGCTTTATTAGTGTCAGCTCTTATTCTCAAAGCAAGAAGCGAAACAATTTCTGCCCCTCTACACTGACACATGAATAATAAAGCAAATGGTTTTGCAATGCCCAGACGACTGCACACACGCACACGCAGAAACTTCACAGAGCGCTCCTCGCTCGTTCCAGAGATGCTTGGATGAGAGCAAAGGAGACAAGTGTAGCATTTCCTCCACAATCCGGGCCCGAGAGCTGCCAAAAGTTCTTAGCTGCCAACGTGTGAGGTGCAAGTGTTAATGTAAATGCAGGTTACAGGGATTAACTGCATCCAACGCTTTCTTGTAAAGTAAACTGGAAGGCTTGTGACGCTCCCCTGTTATCTTTTCCTCCCTTTTTCACTCCTTTTCCACATTACGTGCCCATGTCTGGTAATAAATTTCATGTCAGGGTACGATTCACCTACCACAGCTCTAGGCCCAAACTCAATTATCAGTCTGCCTTTGAATAGCCCCGAGTGGGGGTTCAAAGGGGCTTTCTGGCTCCTTGCCAGAGGAGGCGGTGAAGGCTAGGACTATAACAGAGTTTAAAGAGAAGCTAGATAATTTCATGGAGGTTAGGTCCATAAAAGGCTATTAGCTAGGGGATAGAAATGGTATCCCTGGCCTCTGTTTGTCAGAGGCTGGAGAAGGATGGCAGGAGACAAATCGCTTGATCATTGTCTTTGGTCCACCCTCTATGGGGCCACTGTCGGCAGACAGGCTACTGGGCTAGATGGACCTTTGGTCTGACCCAGTACGGCCGTTCTTATGTTTCTGCTGGGAGATAATCTCTCCCTCGTGTATTAGACTCCACCAATGTATTTTTTTACTTTAGTATATGACACTGATTTATTAAACTGGTTGCACACCAGAGCAATGCACAAATATACTGCAAAGGGCAAACAGGACTACAGAGTGTGTGAGAGTCTCAGATATTCATAATCTCATACCAAAAAATAATCCATCCATCCATCTTCATCCATCCATTTATATTAACATAGCGCCAATCCCTGTATTGTCTAGGTGCCATAATGGAAGGTGGAGTCAAGATGGGCATAACTGCTACCATTTATACAAATGACTCTCCCTGACCCACGGCGGAACAAATAAAATGGAACCTAACCCCCAACCACCCAGAATATTTTGTACTCTTAAAACAAAATTACCAGTTTTGCCTGCCTTCCCGCTAAAAAGTTGCTCCTCAATTTCCTTAGGAAGATTAAGATTAGTTGCCATATATCTTCACACATTCATAGAGGAAAGGGATCTAGGGGTCATAGTGGACCACAAGTTGAATATGAGTCAACAGTGTGATGCTGTTGCCAAAAAAGCAAATATGATTCTAGGTTGTATTAACAGGTGTGTTGTAAGCAAAACTCGTGAAGTCATTCTGCCGCTCTATTCTGCACTAGTTAGGCCTCAGCTGGAGTACTGTGTCCAGTTCTGGGCGCCACATTTCAAGAAAGATGTGGAGAAATTGGAAAGGGTACAGAGAAGAGTGACAAGAATGATTAAAGGTTTAGAGAACATGACCTATGAAGCCAGGCTTCGTGAACTGGGCTTGTTTAGTTTGGAAAAACGAAGATTAAGGGGGGACATGATAGTGGTTTTCAAATATCTAAAAGGGTGTCACAAGGAGGAAGGAGAAAATTTGTTTCTCTTGGTTTCTGAGGACAGGACAAGGAGTAATGGGCTTAAAGTGCAGCAGGGGAGGTTTAGATTGGACATTAGGAAAAAATTCCTAACTGTCAGGGTGGTCAAATATTGGAATAAATTGCCAAGGGAGGTGGTGGAATCTCCCTCTCTGGAGATATTTAAGAACAGGTTAGATAGACATCTGTCAGGGATGGTGTAGACGGAGCTTGGTCCTGCCTTGAGGGCGGGGAGCTGGACTCGATGACCTCTCGAGGTCCCTTCCAGTCCTATAATTCTATGATTCTATCCCCGATAGATGTCTATCTAGTCTGCTCTTAAATATCTCCAGATATGGAGATTCCATAACCTCCCTAGGCAATTTATTCCAGCGTTTACAAACCCTAATAGTTAGAAAGTTTTTCTTAATGTTCAACCTAAGACTCCCCTGCTGCAGTTTAAGCCCATTGCTTCTTGCCTTATCCTCAGAGGCCAAGGAGAACAATTTTTCTCCCTCCTCCTTGTGACACCCTTTTAGATTCCTTGCCATTGGATCAGTAGCCAATAATCTTATCAGAGGGAAATAATTCTCCAACTGCAGATTTAAGACCGGAATATTTTTACACTTTGGACAAGAGCTTTGTAAAGTGTATGGAATCGCTGAAGGGCTGGCTATTTCCAAAGGGTTTTTTGCCTTTTGCACACCATTATTAGTGTGTCAACAGAGCCCACGGTATTCTATATAAATTGGCACCACCCTTACTATTTATGAAATTGTTTTATTTTTACAGTTTACTGTTTGCATCAGTGTTCTCATTCCAATATTTGTATCAGAAGTTCCAGGTTTTGAGTAGCTAGCTCATCACATTTCTCATCATTGGGCAGGCTGTGGCGTCAGAGTAAATCTTAAAACATTATTCTGCACTCAAAATCCA